ACACTGCCTCGATAAGATGAAGCTAGACCTACCCCTGCAGCCGGTGCAAACGGCCCAATATGGCTTTAGTGGTGCGGAGGTAGTTCCCCTTGGCGAAGTCGTTCTCCCCGTAGCATTGGGGTAAACACCCCTAAGGCAGGTGAAGATGATCAAGTTCTTAGAAGTAGAGACTGGGTCAGCATACAACGTAATTTTGGGGAGGCCAAGCCTTAATATCTTCAGGGCAGTAGTATCGACCTATTGCCGGAAGTTGAAATTCCCAGTGGGAAGCGAAGTAGGAGAGGTAAAGGGCAATCAAAAGATGGCGAGATCCTGCTATCAAGTCACCATCAAAGAGGGCCAGTCGAGAAAAAGGAAAGCCGAAGAGACCGTAGGACAAGCTGAAAAGCAAGTGAAAGTGGACATCGCCACCCAAGATGAGCTACTCGAGATTGAGCTGATAGAAGGGGTAGAGGGGAAGACGACCCGAGTAGGAAAAGACCTACCAGATAACATCAAGAGAGAGCTGGTGCGAACGCTGAGGGAGTTTGTAGATATCTTTGCTTTTAGCCCCGAGGAGCTCACTGGTATAGACCCCCGCTTGGCAGTCCACCGCCTCAATGTGGACAAGAAAATGAGGCCTGTGAAGCAAAAACGCAGACATTTCGGACATGAGCTCGACCTGGTCATTGAGAAAGAGGTAGAAAAATTGTTGCGGGCTGGACATGTTAAACCGATCCAGTTCCCGGAGTGGCTGTCCAACGCGGTTATGGTGAAGAAGGAGCTGGGCAAGTGGAGGATGTGTATGGACTTTCGCGACCTAAACAAAGCCTGCCCCAAGGACCATTACCCGCTACCAAGGATCGACCAGCTGGTCGACTCGACGGCGGGATGCGAACTTCTGAGCATGATGGACGCCTCGCAGGGGTATCACCAAATCCCATTAGCAGAGGACGACCAAAAAAGAGTAAGCTTCGTCACGGCCAAGGGGACGTACTGCTATGTGGTTATGCCCTTTGGTTTGAAGAATGCCGGGGCTACATATCAACGCCTAGTCGACCAAATGTTCAAAGGCCAGATCGGACGTAACATGGAGGTATACGTTGATGACATGCTAGTAAAGAGTAAGCGAGCAGTCGACCATGTTGAGGACCTGAAAGAGACTTTTACCACCCTGCGGGAGTACGGTATGAAGCTGAATCCAACCAAATGCA